TCACACTACATTTCTTCAGTTTATTTTGTGTTAACTCCTTAAGGCTAGGGGAAGGGAAATAATTTTATATACTACATAACGGAATTTAAGTTACAATATCTAAATTGTAACAATGGTGGGTATGCTAAAGGATACATCAGCAAATGTGTATCTTAAATCTACCTACCGTTTACTGCACAACTACTACTGTTACTTATTCAGGCTTTATGCTGCCACTTACATGTTATATCACTACTTTGAATTTTTATGTGTATTTTATATCACCACTTTGAACTTTTATTAAAGTGCTCAAAGTATATATGAGTCTAAGAACAGAGAAAACAATAAGAAATAATATCTACTTAAGTCTCTTTATAAAGGAAATAATCATTTAATTGTTTGAAACAATGTCTCTCTTTCATTGTATTTAGAACCCCTTTGTTACTCTTCAAATATATTTGTACTTTTCCATTTGAGATAAACCAGCAATAACCTATGTTCTTTTGTTAGTCACCATAAATTATAATGATATTGGTCATTAATATTTACTGCTTAAATAAACAGCATTTCCAAAATCATTACAGCATTATTTACTTCTGATCTATATCCACACCCAAGTGAGAAACATTGGAAATAATATTTATTAAAAATCAGTTAAATTTCCTCATATTGATTCATGAATAATAAATATTGGAAACCATTGCCTCTTTATTGTGCTTTTTTTTCTTCAAGACATCAGGTTTGCTGATAAAAACTTAGTTAAGATGTTTTAGAGGTTTGATAATTGCCCACCATTTGATAAAGGTCATCATTCACTAGTCCAATAGTTCCAGAAGTTTGGTACCTTGCTTATGATGGAGATTTTTCTTGTACAGAATCTTGCAGGTTACACACCAGACCTATATAAACCAGTAAAGAGGAAGATGATTGATGATTAATGAAAACATTACCTACAGGCTGACAGCACCAGGGAGTAAGAGTTTACACTAAATTGGAGTGAAAAATGTGTTACTACTAAGAAAAGATAGCAAGTACCTGACCTCAAATGGCAAAGAGAAAAAGAGTTCTAAGTTATTTGGAAATAAAAGTACACATACACACTATTCTTTCATTTATATATTAAGCACTTATTATCTAAAATATGGTTATGTGCTCTGGGGACTATAATAATGAATGAGGAAAGAATTCTATATATACATATTCTACCATAGATTTTACATACAAAGTGCCATATTTTCTGACACATAGATCAACCAAATTTGTCATTGATTCATTTATATAATATGAAAAAATTATGAGCATTTGTAATTCTTATAAAGTTTTTTTCCTATAAGATAATCAATAAATATAAATATTTATTTAATAGTCATTATTTAAATGACTAAAAAGGGGACGTCTCTTGCCATATCATTTGGTTCTTTTGAATTCTAATAATTCTATATAATTTACTTTATTTCACCTCCCATATATTGTATGATGTTTATTTACTAGGTTAGCACATGGCTGCACTGAAACAAGATAGTATGAATAGCCTGCTGTCTTTGTATGTTTTTATTTTCTTATTCTAGTCTACCAATTTATCTCTCAAATTCTTGCTAATTACATTATTTAGGGCATAATTGTGCTCTGTGCTACTCTTTATAATTAATAGAAATTTTCCATTATAAATGACTTATTTTTAATGCATAATTTGTTGTATGTTGCTAACTTTTAAATCTCATTGTTAAGAATATAGTGGTGAACACAAGGACAAAAATATCTGCCTTCCTGGAACACAAGTACTAGTAGAAGAATGATTATAAACAAACAATTACTATCTAATAATTGATATATTTTTGTAACATAAACTATTAAATAATAAGCATAAATGACATATAACATATGCTACACTGTCAGGCATTTTTAAGTGCTTTGAACAAGAAATGTGGCAAGATGGGATATGAAAGTGACTAGATTGGAAATATGTGGGACTATTTTACACAGAATTCTCAGTCAGCGAAGGCCTATTCTAAGAAAGTTATATTTGAATAGAGAACAGAATAAAATTCAATAATAAGCCATGCAAATTGTTAGGGCAAAAGTGTTCCAGCCCAAATGACAGCTGGTTCAGAGGACATGAGTTGGACATATACTTAACATGTTGAAGGAACTATGAGGACATAGTTAAAGCAAAGTATGTCAGAGAATACATAAAGGGTCAGATAATGTGGAGCCTCATATTTTATTGAAAATACTTGTAATTTTATTCTTTAAATGTTACAAAAATCTTCTAATGAGTTTTGGGCATAATCTCATTTATGTTGGGAAAGCTTTATTGTCTGCTGCAGCAGAGAGAAGAGTACTGAAACAGTTGAGGAGGCTATGGCTAAACTACAGGCCATGATGATGGTGACTTAGGTCTTCCTGGATCTTTTGTTTGCTTTCTCTAGATAAAGGAAGCTCTTGGAGTGCAATACTTATAGCATTTATTTATTTTCCTAGTGCTAGAAAGGATACTCCATAAAGTAGGCACTCAAAAAGTACCTCGGAAGTAAACAAAACAGTTGTGACTTGACTGGAGTTTTAGTCTGAGAAAGGAGGAAAGATAAAGACTAAGACTTTCTTGAAATATATCTTATTATAAATTTTACAATTTATCAATATGTCAATGCAATAAATTAACTTTAATATAGTGAATACAGTAGTTTAATTTTCTCAATAAATTCACACCATGGAGAATATGACAGTTCTTACAAGTGGAGATCTTTCCTCTGATACACTTTAATATGTCATTTAATGTTAAGAGTGATAACCAAACATGGAAATATAATTGATGAAAAATCACAAAAACATTCTAAATTCTACATTTTTAATCAGCCCCTTGTTCATAATGGTCTGATTTTACCACAGTGTTGCAAAGAGCCCCAGGGATAGATGATGAGTCCTAAGACTATCTCTAACTGAGTGACATTTGACAAAATCTTGAGTGCTCTGACTAACGGATAGGGAAAATTTTGTTTCTGCTATCTAGCTCAGAGGCTAGTTATGAGAAACCAATATAGTGAAGCATGTGAAAACAATTTGATCTCTAACTCCTGGCCTTAAATGATCCTCCTTCCTCAGCCTCCCAAAATGCAAGGATTACAGGTATGAGCCACCACCCTTGGCCTTCAATTTTATAACTTCAATGTACTACAGATTTGTAAACTATTATTATGCCAACAAATTACCTAAAGGTAGCAGACATGGCATGCATGATGGTGACTTTAGTTTTCTTATACCTCCTATTACTGCTTTATTACCCTAAATATTAAACCATCAATTTTGTTGTTCATCCTATTCACTTTATTCTTACAGCCAGTGGCTCCCAAAGCAGACCACACGTCATCTAGAGAGCTCATTAAGAAACAGATGACTGGGCCTCACCCCCAGAGTTTCTGAATCAGTAGTTCTCAGTAACTCCTGAGCATTTTCATTTCTAACAAATTCCCAGATGATGCTGATGCGACTGTTCTGGGGACCACATTTTGATAACTACTGCTTATGGGCAGGATGATCATTTAATTGAATTAAGAAAAATGTTTAATTTTTGGCATTTAACTGAAGTGTCCCTCAATCAACCTGTACACAGAATTTATTTGAAATTGTATATAATGGCTTTTCACTGACCAACAAAATAAGTGCTTCCGATGAAAAAAAAATTGAGGTAATCACATACAAATTTGAACATTTTGATGACTGGCATACTCCTATATTGGAACTCCCTTGTATAAGCTAATAGACATGAATCTAAATTCCAAGTGGCAGCAGCAAACCCATCTCTTACTAGAGTTGAAAGTTGAAATTACATATCTATTATTCATTATATTAAAATCACTGAGGTGTAAAATTATAGGCGCAGTGTCAAGCACTATATATTATTTCTTTATTCAGAAAAGTCAAAATCTTTTGAGTGTAACTATATTTTTGATAATAACTTTCTTTCCTGTGTTATGACCAAAGGAAAAAAAAAAACAATCAATAATTTTTTAGAACAGCTGAAGAATTTCTTGGGAATATAAGAAATAGTCTACCAAAGTGCTTTTGGAGAAATACTACAGTCACTGTAAAGACAAAATAACCATGTAAAGGAATAGGGACCATCTTTTATGGTCCATTCTTTCAGCTTTAGAAAATCAAAGCCACTTAGTACAATGCAAATTAAAGTTCAAGAACAAGGTTCTATTTCTAAAGCGTTTATTTAAATGGTATATGCCTTTCTCTCACTCTTCCATGGTGTATTAGATTTCTGCAAGTTAGTATTGATGATCACCCTTTCCTTAGAATAGAGACATGGTACAATCCTTCCTTGGTTCCAAATGGGTTTTTACGTATTTACATAGAGGAAACAAAACTGTTCTCTCCACATCTCCCTGAGTCAGACCCATCCATGAAGAAAAGAAACATTATATATTCAAGAATGAGAGAGAGGAAGAATAAGGTAGAGAAAACTGATATTTCATTTTCTCTGTCACACAAATATGCTTCTATAGTTGTTGTCTCTATTAAATACAGGTTTTGCTTTCCAAAGAAAGGTTGGACCTTCTTTATCCTCAAATATATAGTAGTTTCTCATGTGTTTATTTAATTTTTGATCATGCTGCAATTAATTTGACAATGTATTAAGTCCAAGGCCTTAACAAATGAATAGAGAAATTACAAAGTAAGAGAGCAAGCTACAGAAAACTTCATTTTATTCCAAGAAAATGGAGATTCTGTTCCCAAAGAGAAGGAAGAAGAATTGAGCTAAATACTGGTACAAAGAGAGCTACTCCTTCTGTTTGTTTGTTTCTGCGGATGTTGGTGGTTTGCTGTGTCAGAAAACATTAATACCTAAGACAATTTTAGATAGAATGTTGTTACTGCTTCTAACACATGTACCTATTTTCCCTTTTGGGACATTAATGTACCCAGACACTAGGTTTTCCAAGTGCCATTGGAGTTGCAGAATTCCCAAGATGGGTCTTTAGCTAATTTGATGGAAGGAATGTTGAGAAAAAAAATCAGATGTTATAAGGAAACTTTTAATATTAATTGCTCATTTTAGACACTCTGCGTAATAAGTAAAGACAGCTTGCATACGCTAGAGTCTGTTTCCTTTAGTGGTGATTCACCTCAGTGGAGTTGTCATATAAACTTGGTCCTCCTCTGAGAGTCCTTCCCCTCAACTGCCAACAATAGTGTTTGCTTTCTGGGCTGTCAATTCTATTGGTTCAGTTTCAGTTTATGGTCACAGGTATGTAAAACACTCAGGTGCCAAAAGATGGGGAAGATTCTAGTGAAGCTTGAACAACTCCAAGTCAGTAGAGGCCAGAATGACTAATCTCAGTGCTGCTTAATCAGAATTACTTTTCCACAGGTGACAAACCCAGTTCCAGTAGAGATTTCAGACTATTGGTGGCTGCTTTCAAATGCCTCACAGAATTGTGCTTCTGAATTCATTTATAAAGATGTGCTTACCTACAATGAAAACAAAAACAAATTTTACAGTTTAAAACTGAGATAACGTTCCCTTAATAAATCCCTCCTCTATTGTTTAAAGAAACAACCCATCAAGCATGGTACATTCATTTAAACAGCCTCTTTCTAAAGTGCTTTGAGAATATGTATGCAAAGGAGGTGGAAAGAAAATATGCCAATTGTGCACCTGCTTCTATATGGGAATAAATAGGTCCAATTACTAATTGCTGCAGAAAGTATTGATACAATGTATAATTTCAAATGCTTATCCTAGAATTCAAAACGCTATACATATTTCTGTTAGAAAGCAGGGACCTTCATTCAGCCAAGGCCCCCTTGGTAAATCTTAAGCTTACAGACCAAGACTCTTAGCCATTAGCCATGAGACTGTTCTCCTGCCATCACACAAAGAACAGGCTTTATAAATCATCACTGGTGTCCTTGACTCTTTGGAATCACAAGACTTTGGCCATATTATTCCAAAAAGATAATTTTCACAAGTTATAGTAATGAAGAGCAGGAAAGCACAGACTCCATGAGAAAAAACAAAACAAAACAAAACAAAAAACTCCTATCTTTTTTTTCTCTGTTCTGAAATATTGTGCCTACCCCACTTCATAATAATTCTATTATAGAGTAGGAGGTGAGTTTCCCACGACCTTGAATGAACAAAAACTATTATGATTTGATGCTATCATTGTGTCAATTGTCTCAATTTTATGCCAAGGTAGATCTTATCACCACAAAGAATTGACCAGGCTGTGCCCATATTTTAATAATAGAAATTTTCTCCTTGTTTACTCACCAAAAAAGCAGGGGTAGGGTGGAGTGTGCAATGTGTGTGTGCATGTGTGTATGTGTGTGTTGATTGATGGGGGTCCTCTCCTATTCAAACTTATGAAATAAATGAAAGAAGTCTGCATTTTGGTGGAAGCTGAGAAAACAGGGAGAATGATAATTAATTATTGCTTAACAAAATTTCAAGATATTTTATCTTGAAATTTTAAAAAACAAAAAATATTTTTGATGAATGTCTATATCTTTAATTTTTTATACTGCACTCATTCCTTTATATAAAAATAATTAACTTAGGATCTAAATAGGGACATATATCTCTGTTGCTATCTCGTACTAACAAATCACTGCAAAAGAGTAGCTTAAAATATAAATTGTCATTTATTTTGCTTAAGACTAGGGAATGACTGGCTCAGCAGTTCTTGCTTTCATTCTTGCATGGGGTCATCTTGAAGCATCTTCACATGCATGTCTGGTACCTAGGCTAGTAAACTTCCCAGACAAGTAGGCAAACTGGGCCTCCTCTGGCATCTTTCTATGTTGTCTTTATACAAAGTGATCTCATGTTAACTGAACTACTTTCATAGTGGCCTTAGGGTCTTGGAGACAGCATTCAAAGGGTCACCAAGAAAACTTACATGGTCTTTGGTAACATAGTCTCAGAAACCATGGAGTTTCATATTCACCCCATTCTATTTTCCTCACAGTTCTAAAAGCTGGCCCCTTTTTAAGGAGGTGGGTAATGAATTCTTCTTTTTGATGGGGGAAGTTTATAAAACTTTCCAGATATGTTTTAAAACCATCATGGTAGTTCCCTCCAATTTCTTGCTAGAATTACCCAGAATGTCTGTCTACATATAACTGCAACCTGATAGCCTAAACAGAGTCAATTACAGTTTCCAAGTACCTTAGCTTATAAAGTCTTTCTTTTTGTGATGATACCAAAATGTCAAAGAAACAATTCACGTGTCACTTTTCCATTGCCATCAATTATGTCATCCTCTAAGTTACTTTTAAGTTACAGCATTATCTACACAGGCTATGTGGAACAGCTATTAATAGTTGGGATTTTTTAAAAAGTGTTTAATGTACAGAACTGGGTAATTCACACTTCATTTTTAAAATTATGATTATAGCTAACACTTATATACACCAGACTCTTTTCCAAGCACTTTAAATTAAGTCATTATATTGTCCCAACAACCCTGTGAAATAGTTATTCTTATTATCCTCATGTTACAAATAAAACTGAGGCCCATAGAAGGTAAGTAACTGCCGAAGGTCACACATTTAGTAAATGGAGGGGCTCAGGTTCAAACCCAAGTAGCTGGCTCTAGAGACCATAATTGCTGCCTCCTAGTTAGTATTAATAAGATCAGCTCCTCTACAGACTAGATGGAAATTGGCCCTCAACCACAAAGTAGCAGGAAAAGATTAAATATATTCCTATGGGAATAAGAAGGACTAGCTTAGAATAGGGGATTTTTTTTAAGGTGATCTACCAAGTGTCATGGAGATTAGTTCCCTTTGTTCAGGATTAGTTATTTACCTTGTGCTATACACAAATGACAGCTCTCTATCAATCTCTTTATGCATGTATGTATGTTTCTACCTAGCTACCTATCTAAGTAATTGGTCTATCTATCTATGTAGAGGTTGAAATCTCTGAGAAGCAGTCTCTGAGATAGAAATTATTGTACAGGAAGTTTAAGAAATGCTTAGGATGGACACATATAGCAGAAGTGGAAAAGCAGGACTGAGCAGTGGAAGAAGGTGGACAATGAGACCATCATAGCAGAAGTATCAACTAACTCCACAGGGAGCTCTGAAGCTGGGATGGTGCTTAAGAGTTGTACTGGGTTAGGGCAATGGGACCAGGTTTTTATAACTCTGATATCAACTGTTAGATACAGTCCACCCTCAAGGAGGAGACAGGACCTTGAGCAAGGCAACTTTCTTTAGCTAAGGGCAATTCTTGAGAGGTACAAAAGTCATCAGTTGTCAGTCACACTCCTAGCTGCTGGTAGAATAGGCCCTTCAGCACTGAAGAAGGGACACCAATGCATGTGCATGTACACAGGATATATATATATATATATATATATATATATATATTTATAAATTGCCTACATGTACTTCTCGATTTGCATACTGAATATTTCTAAAGTGAATTTATGTTTTCTTTTAAAGTAAGACATAAATATAGAAGTTCAAATATATGTTTTTTGAATCTCAAATTATTTTCTTGTTCACTCCCCACTTTGAAAATAATTTGCCATATAAAGATAATTATTTTCACACGGTTTATTTTCTATTGATTTGCATATGCTTCTCTTTGATATGAAGAGATTTTGAGGTGGTTTAAAAGATATTTCCAGAATAAATATCAGAATTCATAAATAACATAAATGAAGGAAATCAGGCCAAGGGAGAATTAGAATATGAAAAAAATAAAAGAATGAAAACAGTTGTAAAGCTAATAGATTCATATAAACAAAAGGTTATATGTTGCTCTACACTTTCAAGATATGAGGTACAAATCTGGTGCTGGGCTTCTGAGCAACAGTAATAAAATAAAATAGAATCTATTACAAGGACCAATGTCTATGAAATTAAAAATGTACCCGGTGCTCATGGGAATTGTGAATTTTCCTGGTACTGATACCTTAGAGAAATGTCACCTTTGGCTTTTCATACAATTTTTTTTTCAACAAAAATTGATACGTCTATGAAAAGCCCTATACATAATCAAGTAGAAAAGCTCGAATACTTTCAAACTATTGAATATAAGTAAAAAGACTACATAACACAATGAGGGCAGTAGCAATGACTGCAGGCTGAAATAACAAAAAGAAAATTCATGGAGGAGGTAGCTTTTAAACTAAGCATTGAAGCATGAGTTAGACAGGTGACAGGCACTTACAGTTTAGAAAGATAGTCCAGCTAGAGAAGCTAACATGTATAAATATATGAAAATGGAAGAGAAAAGGCCAAGCGTATTTGTAAAATTAGATAAGATTTCTTGATATCTTTGAAGCAGCTATTTAAGGTTAATGAGTATCAAAATATTAGCAAAAGTGATCTTCTGAAAGCATTGTTTAGACATGGAATTGATATGACTAAAATATATTTCATTAAAAAGTATTCCCAAGGCAAAATGCTGTATTTCAAGATGTAGCAGAAAAATAATTTTATATTTTTTATTAGAAAGATGGTGCTCTTTTAAAAATATTTACCATAATTTGGAAGGAAGATTAGTAGCTACATGGTGGTGTCATCTTGGTAATATGGTTTTACAGTTGCAGAAAAATGGATAACTCTTTTATGGAAAAGAAGTTTTGCCTGATAAAAATTATTTTTTAAATTGTAATTCAGATTTAAAATTAATTTTTTGAACTTTTGTTACATTTTATTATAAAGGATTTTTCCTTAATTTTTTGGTATAACCTACAATTAATTATTTCAATTTTATTGACATTTATTTTTAAATATATGAAAAATAATCATGATCTTTTAAAAATATTAATTAGTTGATCAAAATATGTGTTAGGAACAAAATGAAACTACCTGTATTTGTTTTGGAGATTTTAATCATCATGCAAACTAATATTATAGAAATATACCTAACTATATGAAACATTGTCCTTATAGAAATATAAATGTGGTTATAAAAATTTCAAAATTGAGTTATTAGAATTTTACTCTACTACAATGGCTACCTAAATTAAAATTTGAAAAATAATAGAGAGGAAATTTTAATAAAATATATTTCTACCTAGTAAAGTGAGATGTTATAACTTTGGGGAAGATATGACTAAGCAAAGTGAAATTTGTATATATAACAAATTTGTATATATTAACTTGATATAGAACATAATATGTAGCACCCTGCAGGAGTGAACATGTGCAGTTAATTGAACCCCTTTCAACAATATTGGCTATAGAAAAAGATTTATATCATCCTGTAATTAAGTAATATGTCATGGAATATACAGGTATTTTTCTTTGTTGATCTTGAATATAATGTGGGTCTCTTTGGGGCCAATTTGAGCTCTGTACTACTTCTTAAACAAATAATCATTCCCCTAAATCTAAATCCAAAATCATTTGAGCTTTAAAATACATATATTTAGAGGAAATTTCTTACAGATATCATGGGTATATCATACTGCAAATGCCTGGTGAACCTTCCTAAAAATTCTCTT